CTGCCTGCATGCATGCCTGCCTGTCTGCCTGCCGCCTGCCTGCCTGCTACACTCCTGCCATGATGGTCATGGACTCTAACCCTCTGGAATTATAAGCCCCCAACAAACTCTTTTTAAAATTGCTTTGGCCATGAACACACACAAATCAACGTTGCCCAAACAAAACAACCCTGAGACTCTGAGCAGAGCTGGCGCCTTACCCCAAGTGACCCCCTCTTCCGCCTGTCAGCTCCCTAATTCTCTTATTGGTCAGAATGGCTGATGAGCTTGGGGGATGGGGCATTGCTGGGAAGATTTTTAAGTCAAAGTCTGTCTGTCTGTCTGTCTGTCTGTCTATCTGTCCCATCTCCTCCCCCATCCGGTGCCCCTTCCTGCCCCCCAGCTAGACACCAAACCCAGGAGGCTCGTAGGCAAATACTGTTCTGCTACTAATTCTCAACCACAATTTCTAAACCACAAATTCTAAAGCTAGAAGTGGAGACTCAGTAGTCAGAGGTCACAGGTGACTGGGCCCCGGGAAGGCAGCAGCAGGGGAAGCAGATAGGCCGGAACAGAATCAGTCAGGAAGCCATCAGGACTGGGGGACGGGGCATGCCATCCATCAGGAAGGTACTGAGGGATATGGTTGGGGAGAAGAGGGCCAGAGAGAGTACCAGATCAGTCCCTGGTTACAATCAAAAGCCCAAACTTAGTCTGGACTGCGCTCTCCTGACCTTTCCCTGCCCTGTGCAGGAAGGGAGCACTGGGACATCTTGTAGTAAACATCCTTTGGAGGTTTTGGCCTCTTACCCGGTCTGCTTTTCTTCCAGCTTAGAAAACCCACAAGTCTCAGTCTGTGCACCCATCCCTCCTTCCGCCCAAACCTCAGCTCTCCAGGGAGGACCGATGGCTTCCGAGTATCGGCAAATGAATTTGTACTAAAGTGTGAGTGTCTGATGGAAAGCCCTGGTGGGTGTGCAGAGCCCGGATAACAAAAAACGGGAGAGAAAGAAGGTAAGGGAAGGGCTGGAGAGATGGCTCAGTGGTTTAAAGGCACTGACTGCTCTTCCAGAGGTCCTGAATTCAATTCCCAGCAACTATAATGGAATTCAATGCCCTCTTCTGGTGTATCTGAAGACAGCAACAGTGTGCTCATATACTTAAAAATAAATAAATAGATAGATAGATAGATAGATAGATAGATAGATAGATAGATTGGCTGGGTAACCTTTGCATGTTCCTTCCCACTCTGGGCTCTTTCTTCTCTGTAGCAAGGAAGCCCTTTTTCCTCTGCTGTACTCAAAACTCTTTTTTTTTTTTTTTTTTGGTTTTTTTGAGACAGGGTTTCTCTGTATAGCCCTGGCTGTCTTGGAACTCACTCTGTAGACCAGGCTGGCTTCGAACTCAGAAATCCGCCTTCCTCTGTCTCCCAAGTGCTGGGATTAAAGGCGTGCGCCACCAACGCCCAGCCTCAAAACTCTTAAGGGACTCTAATTTTATGCCTCTCCAATGCTTCCCTGAGATCCAGACCCATCCTGTACCTCTATGGTTGCTGGGGACAGGAGCCACTCTTCCGGTTACAGCTGCTATCCTCAGACTATAGTGTCCATCCCAGCTGCAGTCCTGGTGGGAAGCTGACAGGGATGGTCAGGTGGGAACCTTCATCCCACAAACCCTGAAGAGGGAAGGAGCCACAGACCACCGCTGCCTCCATCTTAGGCCTGAAGGAAGGGTTTGGGACTCCAGAGATGTGGGTAGGGAAGGAGGCCTTTGGGGTCTTTAGGTAAATACTGGAAGTCTCCAAAGATTTTGGAAAGCTGGGTGACCTAAGAGTTGGCCAGTATTGGGCATGCGACCCAGGACTGAGGGCACATAGAACTGAGGCCTGCTGGGAACCTGTACTGTAGGAGGTGTGAAGTTAAGCAGAGCTAAGTATAGTGTTCACACCGCTCCAGGAAGCCCTGGGGGGGTAGGGGGTGGGACGACCTGGCCTCTCATCCAGGTGACTGGCCAGGTGTTTTCTTATCAACGAAATCAGTTTGCTATTCGGATCACAAGTAGAACCTTACCAGTGCCCCAGGCTCTGTTCAGTCTGGATACTCTAGGTTGGATAGCCAGCCTGCCAGTTAAGAGTCTCTCTGGAGTGAATCACAGTAAGAATTTGATGAGGCTGAACCAGGAGTGACTCTGAGTATATGTCTTGGTTCCCCCATCACACCTGTCGAAACACCTATGGCATGGAAGTTACCGGGAGCCAGTGTCTCTGTGGCCCTTCAGAAGGACCTCAGGTAGATGCTGCACCTCCCATACGGGGCTGGCCAGTATCCCTTGAGCCCCATCAAGAAGTTAACAGAAGAGGACAAAGGAGGGGGTGACCCTCTCACCAGAATTCCCCTGACAGGGTTCCCGGTCTTGGTAAGTCCCTCCTCATGACAGATTCTGAGAATAACAGCGCCCCTGGTGGTTTCTGCTTGGTGGCATGCTGGTCTTATGGTGCCCACTCCTTCCCTGGGGGAGATGCCAAGCAGTCTAGCTGGGTTTAGAGACGCTGGTCCCTGGTGAGTTTTCTCCCTGGGTGGGGTGTGTGTGTGGGGGGACCCGGGCTGCCTGGAGATTCTGGGAGGTGGTCAGGGACTTTCCTCGCTGAGGTAAACAATCTGTTGTGTAAGTTCTCAGCTGGGGACCTGTGATTTGCTGGGGTGGTGGAGAGGACGCAGTGAGGTCATGGCTGAAAGATGCTTGGCACTCCCAGTTCAATGTGAGCTCCCAGCAGGGGAAGAACCAAGGCTCGGGCCAGGAGACCTGATGTGAGCTAGGTCAAGGTGCTTCTGGTCCCTCGGTCTCCACATCTTCCCTGTACCATGTGCCAGGATGGATGCCGAACAGAAGGTCCATAACCTCTAAGCTGTCTAAGGTTTGACTCTCACTGGGGTCCTGTAAGCCAGCAACGATGGACAGGGCTGGACAGAGCTGGACCGCCCTGCTCAGTGTGGGAGACGAGGCAAAAGTGAACAGATCCAATGAGAACTCAGCCAGGTAAAAATGCCAAGTGCTAGAAATTATTAAGATTGAAACAAGATCTCATTATGCAGCCCTGGTTGGCCTTAAAGGCACAGAGATCTACCTGCTTCTGTCTTCTGAGTGCTGGGACTAAAGGCCTACGTCACTACATCCAGCTCTGGCTGCTCTTGCAGAGGACTCCGGCTCACAGATGTTTGTAATTCCTGGTCCTGGGGCTCTGACGCTCCCTTCCAGGGGCATCTGATATACAAATTGTGGGCAGGAAATACATGCAGACAAAAACACGTGTGTAACGATTAAAATTAAATACTTCTAGGGGGGCTGGAGAGATGGCTCAGTGGTTAAGAGCACTGACTGCTCTTCCTAAGGTCCTGAGTTCAATTCCCGGCAACCACATGGTGGCTCACAACCATCTGTGATGGGATCCGATGCCCTCTTCTGGTGTGTCTGAAGAGAGCGACTGTGTACTCACATACAAAAAAGAAACAAATCTTAAAACAACAACAACAAAACCCTAAAACTACTTCTAAATGGGGCCAGCAAGATGGCTCTGTGGGTACAGGGATTTGCCGCTAAGCCTGACCTTAGTTCAATCCCTTAGATGCACATGATGGGGGCAGAGAAGAGAACTCGGCAAGCTGTCCTGTGATCCACACATCCCAGCCATACCTCAGACCGTGGAACTCAGTGGCCTCCTGCTCCTTGTTCCATAGGAAATGAAGAAAAAGGAAGTCCCCGTTGTTTGGAATATGGCCAACTGATTTCAATATCACATGTCACTCAAGGCCCGGGCCTCAGAGCCTCTAAGAGTCCTTCCTCCCCAAGAGGCCCTTCAGAACAGATCCCAGGCCGGCACCAGGAGCCCTGGATATGGAAGAGGTGTCCCCTTCGTCCTTAGAACGGCATGAAGAACTCGGGTGCCTTCAAGTCAACTCTTAAATATTTAATTCCCGTTTATTTAAAGTCCCATCAGTCTGTGTACACTATTTATATTAAAAACACAGGAAGCTGGGGCTCCTAGCAAAAATATACATTTCAGTTTTGGAGACTTCAGACCCTGAGAGGAGCTGCATCCTCAGCACCAGAGCTGGGTGGGGGCGGGGCAGGGTGGGTAGGGGCAGGGCGGGGTGTGCAGCTCCATTCACAGCCTGAGCCCCACAGGGAACACCCCAAGATCTGATCAGTAGAGGTGGGGGGAAGGGCGTGTGCCAGCAGGGAGTAATGGCAGCAGGCCACTGCACTGGCAGGAGCCCAGGCTGTGCTGATGACCTCCCCAAGACACAGAGGACCAGATGGGGAGCCAGGATGTCAGCCTTGAAGCCCAGGCACCCAGGCATCCAATGCTTTTCTCAGGGCCTGGCTGGTGGCTCCCTGTGGGCTGTGGCAGAATCTGCTGGGCCGGGCTCAGCCCTTGGTCTCAGGAGAGCCTGGAGGGGGCTGGGCAGAGTGTGGGAGCACCCACAGGCTTCACACTTGAAGCAGCAGCTGGGAGCTGGTGACCAGCCAGGCAGAAAGGAGATGTGCACAGAGCTGCTGGTGTGCACGAGTGGGACAGGGACAGGGTCGGAGGAGCCCTGGCAACTCTGTCTGTGACCTGGCAGGACATCCCCGCCTGCTTATGGACCCTCAATCCTAGGAACAGGGCCATAGCTGTACCCCAGTGGCCTTGGGGAGGGCATGGCAGGAGCTCTGTGGTGACAGAGAGATGAGCCGGTGTCAGGGTGCCATGCAGGGGGCAGGTGTGCCAGTGTCTTCCAGGAAGAAAGACCAGCTATAGTCCAGTTCCTGGTTCTGCCAGTCTGGAAGCTGCTACAGGGTAGAGGAGAGGTGCTGATGGGGGGCCTTCCCACTCGCTGTCTAGCTTCTAGCCCTGGGACCTAAGTGTGCTGCTGCTCCTTCTGGCCAGCCTCTAACCTCCTTCCTTTCAGTGGGCTGTTGGAGTGCATCTCCGGGGGACATCTCCAGAGCAGCATAACGGCCATCAGTGACAATGGCCTAGGGCACTGGCAAGAAGAAAGGAGGGTATCAGAGTGAGATTGGGGTGCCCTGGGTTGAGACAACCTGGGAATATGGCTCCCAGCCCAGGCTAACCTGCCCGCTCTCTGCAGGAGGAAGTCTGTGATGGTCACCACAGGCTGGGATGGCAGTCAGTCCAGGCCAGGCTTCTTGGAAAGCTGGGCCCAGGAAGAGCGTAGTGTTTCTTTGGATGGCTCATGTCTTCGAAGAGGGGACAGAGGCGAGGCCAGTGCAAGCGCCATTGCTTCTAGGCTGCTGGTGAGCGTACCAATGGGCTATGAATCAGACAGACAGTGGGGATGGGCGGGGAGGAGCAGGATGCCAGAGAAGGCAAGGCGGGAGAGCAAGGGTGCTGGGCAGAGAGGGTGAGTCTGGGCCACGTGTCTGGAGTGTTGAGAGTAGGCTCTAGCTGCTTGGGCTGTGGCCAGTGCCTGTGGGCTGGTCCTCTGAACAGTCCGTGGCTGGGGCCAGCAGAGCCTGCGGGAAGGCCTGGGCTACGGCCTTAGTACATGTCCTTGTAGATTTCCTGGAGCAGGGGGTGCAGCAAGGTCTCACTCTCCGTCTTCTTTAGCCACTGCATCATCTGGGCATGCTCAGTGACCAGCTGCCGCAGGTCAGCCATCTTCTGCAGCAGCTTGGGGAAGAGGTACTGGCTGTCAGGGTGGTTGACCTGCAGATGGAATTCTAGAGCCCGCAGAATGGTGTCCTGGATGGCTTCTACCTGTGGCACATTCATGAGGCCTGGCCGGTCTGTGGGGACACAGGGTATGAGTAGCATCCCAGGCAGGGACTACCTCGCCTTGCTCTGTGGCTAGCCCCACCCCTGGGTACTGCATCCATCCTGTTTCTGACCAGTTGGTCTTCCTGATCTAGCAGGGTTGTGTGATTCCTGGCTATGACATCTCGTACCCAGATTCAGAGCCTGTCTCTAGGAGAACATCCTGGTGACTCCAGGCTTCAGCGTCCTTAACCCAGTTGCCGTGAGGACTGAATGAGTTAAACCTAGGATGGCTCTGGCCTGAGGTGAGTTCTATGCCCCCGTGGGGGAGCAGGCTTACCTGCGTATTTTACTGTACTGAAAAATGTGAAAGTAATACAGAAATTTCTCCATCACCCACTGATGGTGTATTTCTTCCCGGGGCTTCCCGCCTGCTACACAAACATTCCGCCATCGAGCTGTAAGCCCAGCAAGGTCAGCCTCTCTGTACCTCTGGCTCTACACAGGTGCCCTGTGCCACACTGTCTGAGGTCAGGCCTGGTCCCCGCGGTGAGGCCCCGCCCCCTCACCTCCGCACAGAATGATGGCCGCGATGAAAAGCGCCAGGTCGCTGTCATCGAGCTCCAGCGCATTGAACTTGACAGCAAACTCGAACTTGGGCTCAATGATGTCACTGAAGGGCTTGCGGAGACTGCGCAAGAACTCGTGGGTGACAAAGCCACTGCCATTGGCCACCAGCAGCCCGTCCTTGTTGACGATGGAGGCCAGCATGGCAAAGATGGCCTCGTGCACGCCGTACTTGAGGAGGGTCACCTGGTCGTTGAGGAAGAGGCTGCTGAAGTTGGGGATGTTCTTGGCGAACTCGGTGAGCTCCCGGACCGTCTCCACCGTGGTGGACTGGCAGCGGTAGAACACGTGCACGCTGATCTCGTTGTAGGGCGGCAGCCCGTTCACCAGCTGTTTCCACACCAGGCCCTTCTCCGCCTGCCACAGTGTCTCGATGTCGTGGATGACAAAGGGCTGAAAACCAGGCCCATCAGAGGCCAGGCCTGGGGAAGGACGGGGACCCCGCCCTCGTGTCCCCTGAACCCCACCTCATGGCTGGGCTGGCCAGTGACACTCACTGCGCTGTGGCTGGACTTGCCGGTGAGGATGCTCCGGGCCTTCTTTTTGGTCATGTTGAAGTTTTTCAGGTAGGCGTTGTAGATGTGCTTAGAGAAGGCCTTCAGGTCGGCCAGCTGGGGGTTGAGCTGGCACCCCTCGCTGGCCGTCAGCCCCGCTACCAGCTTCCTCTTCTCGGCCTCTGGCATCCGTCCAAAGCGGATAGCTGCAAAGGGGGTGAGGGCCAGTCACGGGGGAGCCGGCCAGGGGCCAGCATCTCTCCTTCCCCTGCCCCTCTCAGGTGTGGAGGTAAAGGGGAATCACCCTTTAGGAGCCCAGGGACCTCAGAGGCCCCACAGTCAGCGAGGGAGCAGTGTGAGGGCAGTCCAGGGGCCAACTCCCTGAGCGCCACTGCTGACTTGGCTAGGGGCTGGCCTGGCCTGGCAACTGGAAGGAACCTGTGGTGACCAGGGCCACGCCTGAGCCCCGGCCCGCCACCTTTCTATTATATGGCTTTGTTCCTTCTTTGTGGGTCATGGGAAACGAAGATCCTTAAACTTACTACAATGGGGGTCAGTCACTATACGCAGTCAGAAGCCAGGGGCATGGGCTGGAGGATCTGAGGCCATGGAACTCATGTGAGACAGCTGGGGGTGAGGAGACAGACAGAGGGGAATCCCAGGAGACAGACAGACAGACACACACACAGTTACAGTCCAAGTAGCGAAGTAGGCCCTGGCTTCTGTCACACAAAGCATGAAGAAGGCTCAGTTTGCCTTGAGGCTCCCTAGGGTCCCTGTGACCCACGATGGGACAGAACCAGCAGATACAGATGAGCGGACTCACCGGAACCCACACTCAGGAGGAGGAGCCAGAGATAGCCTGAAGATGCCCAGTGTGTGTGGTCTAGCGGCTAGCCACCAGAGGGCTTAAGCAGGAGGCTCCCTGTTCTCTGGAAGCCTGAGGCAAGGATGGCTTCTGGGAGTCTGTGACCACCAAGAAATTCCTACCCGGGCCCTGGCAGCTGCTACATGGTCACACACTGGCTCCTGCCCACCCTCAACAATTCAGGACGGGGGAACCCTGGCCTCAGCTTTGCCTGCTCTGTGTGGGGAGCCGTGTTGGCGACCCCATCCCTGTTGGGCTTGTGAAGCAGGGGGTGAGCCCCAGGCACAGACAGCTAGCTGGTGGTGGCCCAGGCCTGTGAGGTCTGAGGTTCTGTGACCTGGCGTCTGTATCAGCCGTGCCAGGCGCGGGTGCTGGGTGCCCTCTGACGGGCACGGGGCACGGAGTTAGCGGTGCTGCGCAGGCGCTCTTTGGGGCCCTGAGTCAGCCGCGCCGCGCCGCGCAGGCGCTCTCACCGTTGTGCGACATGCCGAGCGCCAGGCACTTCTGGAAGCGGCAGTACTGACACTTGTTGCGGTTCTTCTTCTGGATCTTGCAGATCCGATCGCACTTTTCATACTCGAGCTTCATGCGGATTGTCCGGCGGAAGAAGCCCTGTGGGACCAAGGACGTTAGGAGCCTGCACCGTCCCAGCGACACATACAGACACAATAGGGCTGAAATCTAGGAGTGATGAGGTACTTTTTTTTTTTTAAATATATGACTTATTTTAACTGATGCTTTGCCTGCATTTATGTCTGTATGAGGGGTGTCAGAAGCCCTGAAATGGGGTTACAGATGGTTTTGAGTAGCCATGTAGGCACTGGGAATTGAACCTAGGTCCTCTGGAAGAGTAGTCAGTGCTCTTAACTAATGAGATTGTTCTCCAGGGGGAATTTTTTTTTTCGATAGGAAAGAAGAAAACGTATCCTTAATTTTTGTTTTTAAAAAAGATTTATTTATTTATTTTATGTATGTGAGTACACTGGCTGATTTCAGACACACCAGAAGAAGGCATCAGATCCCATTACAGATGGTTGTGAGCCACCATGTGGGTGCTGGGAATTGAACTCAGGACCTCTGACAGAGCAGTCAGTGCTCTTAACCACTGAGCCATCTCTCCAGCACACCCCAAAATTGTAAGGGCTGGTTATACTGGTACATGGCCTTAATCCCAGCTCTTGGGAGACGGAGAATCTTTGTGAGTTTGAGGCCACCTGGTTTACATAGTGAGTCCCAGGATAGCCAGGGCTAACCAGTAAAACCCTGTCTCAACAAAGAAACAAAATTAGTAATCATTTAAAATTATAACCCTTCTGTTTCCATAAGAGTCTGGGTTTTTAAAAAAACATTGTATTTATGTATTTATTGTGGTGTGGGGGTGTGTGCACGTGAAGGTCAGCAGACAAGAAAGGAAGAATCGGTTCCCTCTTTGCATGTTGGTTTTGGAACAGAACTCAGGTCGCCAGGCTTGGCAGCAAGCATCCCCACACACTGAGCCATCTCTCCAGCCTAACTCTGGGCTGATCTCCTTGCCTTTACCTCCCAGTCACCAGGATTAGTGTACAGCACCACACCCAGGTTTTGTGGTGATGTGGCTCAAACCAAGGGCTTCATGCAGGCAGGCAGGCATGTACTCTGTCACATGAGCTACATTCTCAACCCTACAGGGTGATTTGAAAAATTTAAAGTATATGTACTTGTATGTGGGTGCATGTGCGCCTGTATGTGGGTGCATGTGTATGTGG